AAAAAAAAAAAAAAAAAAAAGGTTCAGCCAGGTAGTCAAGGCCAGATTGTCCAAAGATTAACAATCTCTTATCATACTCTAGGCATATAGTCAACAAAAAAAAACTTAAAAGCAATTACAGAAACCCTTCCCTAACCTTGTAAGTTCTCTTTATGTGGCCTCTCCCTTTCCCCTCCTAAATCCTGACTCACTATTAAGGTGGCTTCCCCAGGGTCCAGGGGTTCGATAATGAAAGCAAATGCTACTGTAGGAAACTTCATCATTTTCCCACTTTTATTCATTCACTCCGGAAACACTGATGCTGCCAACTGCAGTGTGGAAGGAGGCAATGTGATCCTCTTTCTATCCAGTCTCCTCCATTACCATAACAACCCACATCCCATAGTCAGCAGGAGAGAGGAAGGCCAGGAAGCCTGGGATGGGGCAGAGGTCGTGGGGAAAGTTCTTTGGCTCTTTCTGCAGACTCCTGACATCGTTCTCCTGCCAGAGGTGCCAAGCACTGCTGGAATCCAGGGCCAGGTTTGTCACCGAGTCTCTCTCCATTCCCTTCCCTGACACCCATCAGTCCACATCACTGCAAGTCGCATGCGTGAATCCCTTCCGCACATGAGCAGAAAGTGAAGAGTGAGTCTCGAGTCAGCTGCTCGGCCAAGGCCAGCAGCCCCCAGGTGGCCTTTGTTCTAGCTCGGGGTTCGGTCTGGCTGTACAGGGCGGTCACCGGGGGGGATGTTTAAATCTTTTAAGACAGTACCCCACATAAATTAAATCAGAACCTCTCAGGGAGGGGATTTCAAGCTCCCAGTGGGGGTCCCATGTGCAGCCAAGGCAGAGCATCACTGCCTGGGTCGCAGAAACGAGGATGTCCAAGGGGCTCCCGATGAAAAGGAGGCAGCTGAGGAGAGCAGCCAGGGAGCTTTGAAACCTTTGTCCTTTTAAGGCTGGGTGCGCATTTGCATTGAATATCTCTTCTTTGGGTTTTTTGGAACAGCTATAATTCATCCCAAATTCAGGTGGGCAAAAATTAGAACTTTATTTTCTGCAGTAACTTTATTTCTGACTCTCAACCCTCATTCTGGCATATTGAAAAAGAATAAAATAAAACCTGAACCTCAGTCCTGCCTGAGGTTGCTCTCCCGCCTTGTCTGGGTAGGCCACAGGGTAGGGGCGGAGGATTGTTGCACATCCGTGCCATAGTCATCAGCTGTGCCCAGCCCTCCCAGGCCAGGAGTTCTGTGCATTCAGGCTGAGAATCTTCTTCAAGGCCACCTGTGTGTTTTAGTCCACTGAGATACATCTGTCTCCTTGTCTTCCCTCCTTCCTGGCAGCCAAGAAGCAGGAGATAGGCCCCTTTTACTCTCTGACCCAAGAAGCATCATTTTTCTCTTTCATAAGCCTGGCCCTTGGACCGGTCTGCTAGAGTGGGATAAGGGGACAGTTTATACTTTTGTAAGGGATGTCTCTGGAAGAAATTGTCTTGGGCAGAGCTAAAGCTTTATAACCCTGGGTGTTCTGGAAGGCTTGGGAAATACCTATTTAGTTCAGTAAGTTATTGTTTAAATAAAGAGGGCCTAAAGTATTTCTCTTTCTATCTCAAGCACCTAAGTTATTCTGTATCCATAGGACAGCAGCAGGAACCCGCCACTTTGAAACAAAATTTGATAGTGATTAAACATTCAGGTGGAAGACCAGACACACAACTACCTCGCGACATCCATCACCAGCATCAAATCAAAGTGAAACCCAGGAGGACAGCCTCCAGCCTGTCTTCATCCTCAAGTGGAAATCAATAGCAGAGTGCAAATTGTTGCTAGTGTACCAGTTCTTAAGATGTGTGAAATGGCATTGCCACCATCTTTATTTAGAGTATTGGTTTCCTTGTTCTATTTTAATAAACTTGAAAACATCTCTGTGGGTTTTCACACGTCCAAGTCCAATCTCAGTCTTCTAGCACAATTTTTCCAGTGAAGTTTTAAGGTCTTCAAGTATTAAAATTCAAGTATATTTTAGTGACCTAACCCCACAGGTAGGGAAGGACTATTCTGGCAAAGCCTAAAGGAAAATTCCAGCTGGTGACATTGACAACGCAGGGTGAGCTGCCAACAACAACAGCAGGGAGATTTGTCCCCAGGCTTGGGCCTGGACCACAATGCCAGCCCTCAGTGAGGGGAACCAGCGCCAGAGAGAAAACAGAGGCACCGGCCATGTCACTGGGCAGGAGCAAGGCAGAGCCCCCGGGAAAGGAATGATGCCATTCTAGCCCCATGCGTGTTAGTTATCAGAGTGTGGGCACCTCGTGGAGTGTGCACCAGCTCAGGGAACAGGATGGGAGACAGTCGTCCCAGAGAGGTGCTGAGGTCTATAAGGCACTTCACTTCTCAGGACAGGATTATTCTGGGTAGTGGGATGAGTCTGAGCCAGCAGGCCAAGAGGTTATGGGGTCAGGAGAAGGGGAGCTGGGCAGGGGGAGGCAGAGAAAGAGAAGCGTGGCTGGGCTATCTGTGGCCTTACAAAATAGCCAAGAGTCTTAAAAAAGGCATTTCTGTTTTCGAAAATGAGCGGTTTATAACTGATGAGTACAGCAGCACTTCCTGAAAGTGGAATGGCGTATGCTGTTCGTGGATAGGGAAGTTAGTCATTAAACCTCAGCAGAAAGCAGAGTGGCATCACGTCTTCATGCCTGGAAAGTCGCTTTCTAGACTAAATGGCATTCCACAACAATGCTATGACCCGTGGGGCCTGCAAGCCTCAGTGAGCAGGGGCACATTTTGGTGTCCCGCTGGCCTCGGTCCAGTGAAGTCAGTGCAGTCCTTCCCTTTAGAATGAGCGCTAGGTTGAGAACATGGGTTTCTACATCTTCCTTCCTGGGAATGGTTTGATGTTTGATCAAATGTGGGTGCATCCTGCCTGCCACCTTTACAAGCTGGGTGCTCTCCTCAAGTATGGCCTTTGGTTCCTTCTTTTCTCCTACTTCCCATTTGACTTCCTTTCTTCTTTCAGCCTTTCTTTACCTTCATGTCATTTGTTCAAGAAACAAGTGATAATAAGAAAGATGTAGTAGGGGTAGAGGGAGGAGTAAGTCAGCTGCTCTGTCCCCAGGGACTCACAGTCCAGTGCAGTGGGTGAGAGACAAGTCAGCAGGCATCCACTCATTAGTAAGCAGCAATCTTCCAGCAGTGGCGTGAATTGTCAGGAGTTCTAGATAAAACGCTGAGTGTGTTCAGGGGAGGAAGAGATGGCTGCTGAGCAAGGGGATCAGGGAAGACTTCGTGGAGGAGAAAGTACCAGCACCTCTGCAGAGCCTGCTTCGTACCTGGCCCTAGGCCAGGCGCTTCCCTTGTGGTGTATTGTGCAGTCCTCCTGACCCCTGAGAAGTGACTGATACGATCCTTATTCTACAGAGGAGGAAGCAGGGGCTCTTTGTTTCTGTAACTCCATTGTGCTACCAACTTACTGCTCTTTTGTAAACTCTTAAAAAGACCTAGCAATGGACCACAGAGCCTTCAGGAACCCTACCTGCCGTGACCACCACCCATACTGCCCATGGAAAAATCATGGAGTTTAGAAGTAGATTCGGTTTGAATCTCAACTGTCTGCCACTTACTGGAAGTGAGACCAAGAAGTCTCTGTCCTCTCTGTGTCTCTCTGTAAAATGGGGGATAATAGTCAACAAAATATTTGTAAGGATTAAGTGAAATAACGGGTGTGGCAGGATCTAGCATGATGCCTAGATATAAATATTTATATACTTTCGTTCCCTTAAATTCCTCTAAAATTATATGCTGGCTTTTAATTTTTCCCATGCTACTATAACTGTTCTGGTAAAAATGGAGAGATTTACTCTTTAAAATTGCTTAGGATGGTATCAGACAGTGACTGAAATGGTTGTGATTAGGATGATTAGGAGTATGATGACTTTAATGTAACCTCATTCTCATTAAGATGTTTATGTCGCCGGCCGGGTGCGATGGCTCAAGCCTGTAATCCCAGCACTTTGGGAGGCCGAGACGGGCAGATCACGAGGTCAGGAGATCGAGACCATCCTGACTAACGCGGTGAAACCCCGTCTCTACTAAAAAAAAACACACAAAAAAACTAGCCGGGCGAGGTGGTGGGCGCCTGTAGTCCCAGCTACTCGGGAGGCTGAGGCAGGAGAATGGCATAAACCCGGGAGGCGGAGCTTGCAGTGAGCTGAGATCCGGCCACTGCGATCCGGCCACTGCACTCCAGCCTGGGCGACAGAGTGAGACTCCGTCTCAAAAAAAAAAAAAAAAAGATGTTTCTGTCTCTGCAGAGGCTGACAGATTCCGTGGACCGGTGCCATGATTCATTGATTCTTTTTTTCTTTATAGAAGAGCTACCAGATGGCGTTCTTGAATCTGATGATGATGAAGATGAAGATGATGAAGTAAGTTGGAGGCTCCTGACACCACATAGAAAACTCTTACCAAACTATTCTCTCTTTCCTGCCTTGACAAGCTAGTCCAGAAATGGAGATTTTTCATTCCTGCTACACTGTTTCTCACAATTCTGGGGGTTGGCTAAAGCTCCGCTGGGTGGGGGTTCAGGTCTCACTTGGGGTCTCATGTGGAGAGCCCAGTGGCCATGTTTGAAGACTCCCACACTCCCTGGGTTCACAGCAGAGACGCAGCATTGCCCGTCATTCGGGTTTCATGGGAAGCTGAACAATGACCATTCTTCTGTGTGAGCTTTTGCTCTGAAGGGGCACGAGCCTTGGCCTGTCTTCCTCAGCGGTGGGAGTGCTGGGCGCGTCGGTGCCTGGCGAGAGTCTCTGGCTTGAGGGGTCCTGGGTTTAGTTCAGAGCTAGCGGAACTGACCAGTTTTCTCTGTTATTTGCATTCTTTTGATTTGTGTTTCCTCAGCTGTGAAAAATCTACTTGCTTGTGTTTTAGAGCATGAAGGTTTAGAAGTTAATGTATGTGAGTCTCTGAAATGACGTAAAGAATGGTGACTCGGGGACTGTAGTTGGATTTTCAGATGACAAGATTTTACATGGTTTTCCTTCAGAGACCCAGAAGGAAAAGACCTGTTGTCCCCTCTGGTCATACTTGATCTGCCTGCCTTCATTCGCGGGGAGCATTCACTGAAAAAGTGGATGTCAGACGATGTGTTTTGTTTGGAGTCGTGGCCTGTCAGTTTCTGAAATGTGTAAAAGCCAGGTTTTTGATCACTGATGGCATCAGTTGGGAAAGAGGTATTTAAGAGCCCCTGCTAGAGAGGATGTGCTGAGATCTGCTGGGAGATGCTTCCTCAGCAGGCGGCCTCTGTGCCTGCCGTTTTCTTCATGGGCTGCAGGTGGCATCAGCGGGCGCGTGCTCCTGCTGGCTTTTCCTGCCGTGTCCCGCAGTGCAGAGCTTGACCTCCAGATAGGGGTCCTGGCCCCTATCATCTTCTCCAGGCCCCTTTGTTTACGTAGGTGGAGCCAGAGGGAAAACACCAGCTTGAGCTCACACAAAGAGTTGATGGTGGTAAAATTGGGTTTGGAACAGAAGTCGGCAGACGCTTTCTGTAAAGGAAAAGATAGGAGCTATTTTAGGGCTTGCAGGCCACACAGTCTCTGTTCCAGCCACTCAGTTCTGCTGCTGTAACGCAGTGGCTGTCAGCAGTACATAAGTGGCCAAACGTGGCCGTGTTCCTGTAAAACTATGGACACTGAAAATTTGAATTTCATACAATTTTTTTTACGTCATTAAATCTTTTTTCAAATATTTTAAAACACAAAAATCATTCTTAGCTGGCGGGCATACGAAAGCAGGCACCTGACACTTGGGCCATTGTTTGCCAGCCCCTAGGCAGTTCCCGGACTCAGGCAGCCTTCTTTAGATTATAATGAGTCACACCTCCTTTGTGCCTGGCCCTTCAATATCATTCTAAATGATAGTTTAAATTAACGTTTAATTATTTGTTTTTAACAACTTTTTTTCATTGTGTCCAGAAGTTCCTCTCGAGATCTGTTTTTTTTCCTTCTTGTATCATCCCTTTGGGTTTTCCGGTTTGCTTTGGTTTTTCGTTTTGCTTTGTTTTTGCTATGAATCCTGTTTTTATCTTATAAGGGAAAATTCATTTTGTTCAACTGTTCTAGTTAATGATGAGAACTCAACCTTTGGAAATTTCCTTCTGAAAGCAATTGTCTACTATAAATGAACAAACACAGAAGTCTTGTAATCTGGACTTCTGCTACTCTTTTAAGAGGTTGATGTTTGAAAATACTTGTGATAACTAGAATTTTCAGAAGATTCCTAGAAGAGGCTTAGTTGGAAAATTATAAGGAAAGAATCTGTCATTTGGGCCAAATGGGACTCTGTGATGAACCAGATGGCAGCAGATGGGGGCTCCTTCTCCCGGGTAGGCCTCACTGCACCTCGCCAGTGTCAGCAGGGGCAGTCCGGGCACAGCTGGGCTTGCTTGGATTTTACTCAGCTTTCACCGGCGGCAAGCATTACGTTTATAACTATCTTTCAAAGTTGGAGGGAAGAAAGAGAGTGACAGATCTTAGGCTAAAAGAAAATTTCCAAGAATCCTTTGAGAAGTAACACTGTTGTTGGAATGTGGTTATCACTTCCCAAGGTGACAGCTTTGAAGGAGACAGCAAAATTATTTGCAAGGTGTTGCACTCATACCTTATCTTGCTTAGCAATGTAAATGTTCTTTCATTTAATATTTAGACCCAAAACACAGAAAATGAAACCACTCTTTTCAGTTAGCTGCTTAGCGACTCTAAAGATAAAATGGTTCTAATGGGGCCAGGCACAGTGGCTCACACCTGCAATCCCAGCACTTTGGGAGGCCGAGGTGGGCAGATCACTTGAGGCCAGGAGTTAGAGACCAGCTGGGCCAACATGGTGAAACCCCATCTCTACTAAAAATACAAAAATTAGCTGGTTACATGGTGGCGTGCACCTATAATCCCAGCTACTGGGGAAGCTGAGGCATGAGAATCACTTGAACCTGGGAGGCGGAGGCTGCAGTGAGCTAAGATCCTGCCAGTGCCCTCCAGCCAGGGCAACAAAGTAAGACCCCATCTCAAAAAAAAAAATGTGGCTCTAGTGGGATGGGGCCTGAGACCAGGGTAAATTATGCTCACTCTAAATCATATTGAGCTGAAATCTGTGCACTCACAATTTCCACCACTACTATCCCTGCCCCACTGGAAACTCTAAAGAGAACCCCCGATGCAAAGTCTAGTTTTTCTCTGTAATTTGTAATAACTTGATCTAACGTGCTAACCTAACAAAGTTATGTCTGAATATACATACATTTATATACTAAAATAAAAAAAAATAAAGATAGAGCTAGAAATGCATGTTCTGATTTATAGACTGTCTAGGATATATTGTCAAATAAAAAAAGGAAATCATAAAGTAATTTGACCAATAATTTCGGAAGAGGCAAATGTATAAACGCACATGGCTATGGATTATATGTGTGCCTATGTAGCAGAAAGGCATGGACAGTTACGCCTTCTTTGCTGACGTTATAAACTGCAAGCTGGGAATAGGAATAAGGAAGTTCGGGTGAGAAATGCAGAGAGGCTCTGAGGCTCCTCGAGAGAGAAGTGAGAACAGGACATGGGGTTTAGTGGCGTGGAAGTCAGTTGCTGTGCATTTTTGTGGGTTGATGGAGCAAAAGCGGAATGAATGGATTGAGGAGCAGGTGGGAAGTGAGAAAATGGCTTAAAAAGTGTATACTGCTCCTCCCGCAGTTGGGCTGTGCACAGAAGAGCAATAGTGGCTGAGGGGTGCATTTTTGTTTGTTTTAAGATGAGAGAAACCTGAGCATGTTAAAATGCTGATGGGATAGCTCCAGCCAAGAGGGAGAGCTTGAACATTCAAGGCAGGAAGAGTCTGCAGAATGGCATCGAAAAGATGGGTGTTTTCATTGTTTTCTTTTTTTTTTTTTTTTTTTTTTTTTTTTTTTTTTGAGACGGAGTCTCGCTCTGCCGCCCAGGTTGGAGTACAGTGGCCGGATCTCAGCTCACTGCAAGCTCCGCCTCCCAGGTTTACGCCATTCTCCTGCCTCAGTGTCCCGAGTAGCTGGGACTATAGGCGCCCGCCACCTCGCCCGGCTAGTTTTTTGTATTTTTAGTAGAGACGGGGTTTCACCGTGTTAGCCAGGATGGTCTCAATCTCCTGACCTCGTGATCCGCCCGTCTCGGCCTCCCAAAGTGCTGGAATTACAGGCTTGAGCCACTGCGCCCAGCCGTTTTCATTGTTTTCTAAACCACTTATACTTTCTTGGCCCACAAGGCCCCAGACCCATTTAAACCTCCAGAGAAACAAAACCATCATTAGATCAGCTTGGACAGTACACCCCAGGGAATGGACAATGACAGCTGTTATTTAAGGCTTCAAATGCATCTCATTTAGCACTTTGGAGAAATGTGTTACCTAATGCATTTATTTTATATGAAACAGACGTAGTATGTTACAAAAGGGCTGATGGTAAATCACTAAGCTTAGGAGCCTGGTTCCATTGTTCTCACCCCCAGTGACTCAGGTTTCCTTACTATATATCACAGCCAGTTTCCTTGTATGGCTTAGTTAAGTAGAAATGCAAGGCCTTTCTGTGCTATTCTAGAAGACTGATTTTTAAGACAAATATTCTCCTCTCTTGACAAAACAGGTTTAAGTGCCAGGTGAGGTCAGCCATGGACATTTACTTGCTGGTTGCCATGTAAGTGACAATCATATGCTCAGCAATTTCCTTCTACACAAAGTGCTCAAATGTAAGAGTTGCTCATATATTTACTCAACAAATATTTGAGGGCCTCGAAATAACACTATTGTAGGAACTAATGGGGAGGGGATGCAAAAGAAATCTAAAAGAGTATCTGTGGTTTGAAATACCTCCAAGAGTTTCCAGCCTAGATAGGGAAGATCACAGTGATTCTGACAACAGTGGCTCCCGCCTGCTGGCATTGCTGGGCACCAGGCACTGTTCTAGGCACCTTATGGGTGTTCAGTCATCTCCTCTTCTCAGCAGCCCTGTCGTAGGTGCTATTTTATTCACTTTTCACAGATGAGGAGACAGAGAGGAAATAGGTAACTTGCCAAGTTCACACAGCTAATAAGTAACCTACGGGGCTGGGATTCAAATCCAGGTGGTCTGACTCAGTTGTCCATGTTCCTAACCACTGCCCTATATTGCCTTCTTGTGAGATATACATGAATGCAAAACAGCAAGTAACAGAAAATAAATACGGATTATAGGTTCATAAGGGTGATAGACACAGGAAGTGCTTGCAGAAATTCCAAGTACTCCGGGAATACTGGGAGATGGCTGGCCTGGGGTGAAGAGGAAGTGAGCTTGGTTGAGGAAGGGAAGGGTGTGGTCAGCAAGGGTAGCATCCTCTAGGGGAGACAGCACAAGCGTAAGCGTTATCCTTTG